ATTACGGCAGAAAGGAGGTAATGGTTGTGTAGGATGGGTATTTTTTCTTTTAAGCTACCTCTCCACATTAATCATTAGCTTAGAACTTTTCTAATCATGTTTTTGGAGTTCCACAAATTGCTAGGGACTTCACTTGAGTGTGCCATGTCCAGGGGATGGAGCCGTATCTCATTGCTTTCAGTTCCATAATATTGCTTCATTTTGGCATGCAGCATAAAATAAAGGTGAGTTTGCTTTTAGTGTGGTAGTATTTGCAAATTGTATTTTGCAAAGTAGTAATAGGTATCTCTTTCCTACTGGGCCTATCTGTGTACTCTATATTAGGGTTTTTGCCCTAGAAATGTAGCTTAAAAAATATTTAAACATAAAATTGTTGTTTCCTATTTTGGCAGGAGGAACAAGTGTTTCATATGGTCTGATGTGTCCTGCAGATGAGACAAGAACAATTATTTCTTTGGACACTTCACAAATGGTATGTGATAATTTAAGATATATTTGAAGATAGCTTCTCTTTAAAACATTGTTTTTATGGCTCCACCTTAGTTATCATTAAAAAGACCTGTTGTCCATTTTGTTTTAAATGTTTTTTTTTTTTTTTTTTTTTTGAGACAAAGCCTTGCTCTGTTCCCATGGGCAGAGTGCAGTGACATCATTATAGCTCACTGCAACCTCAAACTCCTGGACTCCAGTGATCCTCTTGCCTCAGCCTCCCGAGTAGCTGGGACTATAGGCATGGGCCATGACACCTGACTAATTTTTCTGTTTTTAATAGGGATGGGGGTCTTGATTTTGCTCAGGCTGGTCTTGAATTAAATGTATCTCATCATACCTTACTCCTGTCGTCAGTTCTCCAAAAGCTGAGTTCACTATTACTCTTAGCCATGTATCTTGATTCTATTTTACTAAATTGGCATGTGAAATTGATACTTTGAGGAGCATGGATTAGAGTGTTGACTCACCAGATGACCTGATTTGTGTTATTAAAAAACAGAATGGATAATATTAGTTTAGGTTAATTTGAATCACCAAAATTTAACCTGTCCCTCAAATTTACACTGATGCTTTTACATTTTTGATTGGGGATGAATAGAAGAGCTAACTAATTTTAATGATAGTATTGCATTCTGAAGTTTTGGCTCATTGTGGTTTAAGGGTTGGATGTTGTGCCGTGCTAGGGTTTTAATTTGAGTATGCACTTTATCTTCATATAATCAGCAATACTCCTGGTTACATATTCTTTCATTAAAATAAAATATTTTTAACTTTTTAATTTGAAAGTTTTCCAAACACCAATGTAGAAGAGTATACCCATTCTCTGGATTAAGTATTAATATTTTGTCATACCTGCTTTATCTTTCATTTTTTCTCTAGTGTTTTTAAAGCAAATATTGATATGCTACTTTGTACCTAAATATTTCTCTAACAAAGGACATTTTCTCACATAATACTATAGTATTATCACTCCTGGAAAAATCAAAAGTAATTCCTTATGTTACTTAATATTTAGTACACATCAAATTTTCATTCTCAAAAATGTCTTTATTTTACAGTTCATTTGTTCAAATGGGGATCCAGACAAGGCTCATGTTAGCTTTTTGTTATTTCTGTTACATCTCACTTTATCTAAAAGCCTCCTTTTTTTTTTTGAATGTTACTGATCTACTGATCTTTGAAGAAACTAGGTTATTTGTAGTATAGAATGTCATATTTTGAATTTGTTGCTTTTTCTTGGTGTCATTTAACTCTTCCTCTAAGCCCTGTATGTCCTCTAAACTGAAGTTAGATATATAGCCTAGTTAGATTCAGGCATGCAGATGAGCCCCCTCCCCCTTTTTTTTAAAGGAAGAGCACTTCATGGATGGTATGGGCTTTCTTATTTTTTTAATGTCACATTAACATCAAGAGAGGAGGTACATAATAGCTGATCATCCCACTGTTAGTGATGCTAAAATTGATTAGCAAATTCAGATGGTAACTGCCTGGTTATTTTACTTTAAGGTTCTCCATCAACGTTTCTCCTTATCCTAGAGTTTAAGAAAAGGTAATTTCCTTAGAAGGCAGTTGAAGAATAGCCTATTTTGGAATAGGCTCTGGAATGTGTTTGAATTTCTGGCTCTTTACCTTACTATGTGCAAATTTACCACTAAATCTGTTATTGAATGTGTAAAATAGAGACAGTAATACTGCAGAAGGTTATTGTGCAGATTTTAAATGAGATGATATAAGAAAAAGTCTTGACACTGAGCAAATGCTTAAAATTCGGTGGCAGAATTTTAAATGTCAGGCTTCCAACCATTTGTTTTGCAGAGAAACCTTGTATATTTACTGCCTTTAACCTTGAACTGTCTGAAACATGATGGATGAGGGATACTTATAACTGTGATTTGCATTGAAGTCATGTCTGCATAATTTTGCACAGTGTACTTCTGATATAATGTGTAGAAAATGTGATGGGAATTAGATTCCCCGTTTTCTACCTAAATATATGTGGTAATACTAAGGCCTGTTGGCCTTAAAATTTTTGTTTTTGTCTTATTGTTAACTTGGGTGGTTTGTATATACTAGATGTAAGAGGTCAGCCCATACATTTTCTTTAGGTTTTTCTGTGAGTGCCCATAAAGATGGTTTTGTTCCTTGCCTCTTTTAATTTCTTTTTTCTACCAAAAAATATATTTAAACCCTTGATAGGTACAAGGTATGTATGTAGCATGAGTATATAATTGCCTCAAGAGTCAGTCTGTTGGGAGAGAAGATATATATAAATTATTATAATATGAGATATCATCAGATTAATAAGTTTTTTGTCTTTTCACTATATAGTTTAATAATGCATTCTTTGGTTTAGCTGCCATAGTACCGAAAGTCCGATTATACCATAGTTATATTGAAATTACTGTTGTCTTATAGTGAGAGTATGAGTTTTATATAACGAAATAAAAAAATACATTCACATACATCATCTCATTTTATATTTATCATAACCCTGTAAATTAAATAGTGCAATTATTTATATGTGTTCAAATTTGGAATTTAGACAGCGAATGCTATTTTTGTATTGTCTGTTGTGTTCTTTCCTTTTTATTAGCTAGACTTACCTGCATTAGTTATTGCCATGAAATTGAACGTATCAAAGTACGAAGAAAGCTTCCCTGGTATCCAGAAGAAGATTCTATATATTATCTAATTGCTTAGTGAAACAGAAGGGGAAAGAAGTCTGCTTTTAATAGTAAAAGTAATTCATGAAGATTCATGTATACATAAAAATTAGGTCAAATAAGAATATTAAAAAAACAGTTTTTTTATTGGCAGTCATGTATGGTAAATTGAGCCAAATGATATCCAGTTCCTTGTTTTGAGCATGAGGCAGGGATGTGCTTTGTTTTCTACAATGAGGTCCCTGGTCCTGTTCCGGATTGAAAATAAAGCAGGGATGGAATTCGCTATTTTCAAATATCTTTGCAGGTGTTTTTTTCCTAATTTCATGGTCGTTTTCTGATATTCTTAAATTAGATGTGATTGCCATCTTAACAATAGTGTAGATAGTATATACATAATTTCAGAACCTGTATATGCTAAGTTTTTTACATGCAGTATCTCATTTAATCCTTATAGTAACCCTGTGAGTGTGTGTTATTTCTATCCACATTTTACAAATGAGGAAAAAATAAGCTTAGACAGTTAAATAATTTGCCTAAGGTAAGAGATGAAGTTTAATTCAAATTATTAATAATATCCGAATAAAGACAGAGTCTGTGTTTTATTTATTTATTTATGAGACATGATCTCACTCTGTTGCCTGGGATAGAGTGCAACCTCATCATAGCTCAGTGCAACCTCAAACTCCTACGCTTACACGATCCTCCTGCCTCAGCTCCAAGTAGCTGGGCCCACAGATGCACACCACCACACCCAGCTAATCTTTAAAATTTTTTGTAGAGATAGGGTATCACTCTGTTTCCCAGGCTAGTTTCCAATTCCTGGCCTCAAGCAGTCCTCCCACCTCAACCTGCCAAAGTGCTAGGATTACAGGTGTGAGCCACCATGCCTTGCCCTACAGAGTCTATGTTTTAAACCAACCCCTGCATAATATACTACCTTTGTTACTTTGTCTGTCATGTTGTATAGTCAGGGATAAGTGGAGCTGGTTTCCAATGTGAGTGGTTAGGGGAAACGCTACTTGCTTAATTACTAACTTGTCACTTGTTGCTTTGAATTAGTAAGTTATATTTCCTGAGAAAATGTCAGTAGTTCATGAAGCTCAGACTTCTTCCTTCCTTTGTAACAGAATCGAATCCTCTGGGTTGATGAAAATAATCTGACAGCTCATGTAGAAGCTGGCATAACAGGACAAGATTTGGAAAGACAGGTATGTTATTTCTTTAATTAAGGTTTTCAAAACTGCTGTGTCCCCTCTCGGAATGAAATGCTTTTCACAGTACATTCATTCACTCAGTGAATTTGTTCGGTTTCCATTGTGGGTTAGGCATTGAGCAAGTTGCTAAGCACATGATAGTGAATAAGACACCATCCTCTACCCTTGGGTGGCTTATGTTAGGACAGAAAGTTAGATAAATAGTGATTTAGAGTGAGAGTTGCTATGTGGAGGCTAAATGCAGGGTATAATGGGTCATCAAATGGGACTAGGCAAGGAGTTGGACAAAGAAGGTATCCCCGAGGACATGGCATTTAAAGTGAGACTTCAGGATGAGTCCAAGTTAGCAAAAAAGGAGATGGGTCAGGGAGAACAATCCAGTTAGAGGAAGGAGCCTGTGCAGAGGCTTTCAAGGTAGTTGCTGCTTTTGGGGCACTGTAGATAGCTGAGTATGGCTGAAGTGAACACACATTCTTGGTGTTTGTATATTATAGTGTTTATAGTAGTAGTAAGGGATCAAGCCAGGAAAATATGAAGAGGTCAGATCATAAAGGGCCTTGTAAAGTCCCTAATAGAAGTTTGAACTTAACCTTTGTACTTAGATTGTTAGGGCTGCTGTGTGGAGAGTGGATGGGCTGTGTAAGGGTAGGTTAAGAGACGACAACAATAATTTAGGTAAGAGCTGATAGTGACCTGGAAATAAGGTAGTAGGAATGGAGCAAAATGGAACAAATTGAACATAGAATTCTGAGATCTTAATGATAAATTGCATCAGCTGGGGTAGATGTTGGCATCTGCTATTCATTGAACCTTTCAATGCATAATTGCATTGACAACTGCTCATCTGTGAGTTAGTGAAATTCTTGGAGTCTTTATGGTACTGTTTTGGGGATCCCAATGAATTTTTGGAAAATTTTAGGTTTCCTTCATGGATTCTAAGCCAGTAATTGTGAAAATAAATTGGTTCCTTCAACTTAGTCAAACGTGATCAAGATGACTGTAACTCGGCTTTTGTAAACAAAAATTAGAAAGTCCAATTTGTTGGTGATGTACTGACCAGTTTGTTTAACTTGGGTTAGGGAGACTCCTCTCCCCTAAATCTTTAATAAGAAATAGAGATGTGACATAATTGTTGATCTTATTTTTATTGTCTTTATCCTTCTTTCTTGAAATATTGATTGAAGTTGGTCTACTTGTGACCAATTCTGGATGGCAGGCATTGAAAAAATTATTAAGCTATAATATTATCTGTATTTTTGATTTAATACAGTAAGATGCAGAGAACTGGAATAAAATTGAACCTGTTTGTTGAGGCAGTATTAAAGATCTTCAATAAATCAAAGTTTTATGTAAGTCAAGATAAGTAGATTTGTTAATTATTATAGTTTATAATGAACTTCAGTGGGCAGAATAATAGTATTTAATGAAAAACCACTAAAAAATCTTGTATTCCATTGTACCTAAATGAGGCATTATCAACACAGCAATTATTTTTATAACAAAGAATGGCCTTTTATGTCACCAATTTTATATCTTTATTATAGCAGTTGATGTAGTATTTTAACCTTTCCAAGTTTTCTTTTTTTTAAAGGTTAGAATTAAAATTCAAGGAATATATTTCCTTGAAACTTAAATGACATTTCCTAGACTAGGAACTTCTGATATTGTATCTACTAGTTCATTTCCCTAAATGCCAATATAGAACTTTCTTTTTTGCCTCCAGCAGGCTATACTATATTAATAGTTGCTATAGCTGTTTTGATTCTATTAATAGTTCAAGTTCTTTCTCATTAAATTTGTGTCCTTCAGTTTCTACTTCAGCTGAGATAACCAGCTTAAAACATTCTGCTTTTTCCTTCCAGAAGTTTTAAAGTGGCACAAATACAGTAGTTGGGTAGCACAAATTTTAATCTCTTTAACCTATAAATTGCATTGATATTAATATGTGTAAAATTTAAGGGGAGTCACTAATATGTCAGTTATGGATTTGGAGAATTTTTTTTAGGTTTATTATATCTTTGGCTACTTTATTATGTGTGACTCTAATGTTGTTTTCTGCCTAGAGACATCACTAATAACTTCATATTATCTTTCTTTGTTTCTAATAGCTATTAGCTCTTATTGTAAACCTCAAATGTAGGTGCTGGCTGTGTGACCTTGGGCAAGTTATTAACCTTTATGCCTCTGTTTCTTTATCTATAAAGTGGGGATAATAATTCCTACTTCATAAGGCTTTTGTTAGGATGAAATAAGTTAGTAATGTAAAGTACTTAGAACTTTGATTCATTCCACTTTTATTGAGCACTATCTGCTTCATTCAGGCACAGCTAACTTTAAATATTCCTTTTATATGCTGAAGACTCCAAAATTTATATCATCATCCCAGACTTCTTTTCTGAACTATAGACTTATATATATCTACTGGCCTGGTTGATATCTTCACGTGAATATCTAATAGTCATTTCAAACTTAACATTTTATTTTATTTTATTTTTTTATTTTTTTTGAGACAAAGTCTCGCTCTGTTCCCCGATCTAGAGTGCTGTGGCGTCAACCTAGCTCGCAGCAACCTCAAACTCCTGGGCTCAAGGGATCCTTCTGCCTCAGCTTCCTGAGTAGCTGGGACTACAGGCATGTGCCACCATGCCCGGCTAATTTTTTCTATCTATTTTTAGTTGTCCAGCCAGTTTCTTTCTATTTTTAGTAGAGACAGGGTCTTGCTCTTGCTCAGGCTGGTCTTGAACTCCTGAGCTCAAACGATCCTCCCGCCTCAGCCTCCCAGAGTGCTAGGATTACAGCCATGAGCCACCGCGCCCGGCCGAAACTTAATATTTTAAAAAACTGAATTTTTGGAAGGAATATTTGCAATCTTGCCTCCAAAATTTGCATATTTTATAGGCTTCTCATTCTCAGTAGATGGAAATTCAATTCTTTGGGCAATTTGAGCCAAAATCTTTGGAGTCATATATTTTTGGTTTTTTTGTTTTATAAGTTTCATTGAGATATAATCATCATCTAATAAATTGTACTCATTTAGTGTACAATTTGATAAGTTTTGACATATGAATATAATTGTAAACCTTCATCATAATCAAGATAATGAACATATCCACCAACCCCAAAAGTTTCCTCTTGTGTCTTTATAATCCGTGCCCACTCCCAGGCACAACCTCTACCCAACCCCCAGCAATTACTGATCTGCTTTCTGTCACTGTAGATTTGTTTAAATTTCCTACAGTTTTACTGAAGTGGAATCATACAGTATGTACCCTTTTGTTTTTTGATGAGGAGGGGTCTGGCTTCATTCACGAAGCATAATTATTTTTATATTCATCCATATTGTTGCATTTATCAATAGTTCATTTCTTTTTATTGCTCAGTAGTATTCCATTGTATAGATATACCACCGTTTGTTTATCTGTTCACCTGTTGATGAACACTTGGATTATTTCCAGTTTGGGGCAATTACAAATAAAGCTGCTGTGTACATTCATGTGTAAGTCCTTGTATAGACATATACTTTCATTTCCCTTGGGTGAGTATCTAGAAATGGAATAAATAGATCAAAATGGTTTATCTCTTATTTTACTTTTTATCTTGTATAGTCACCTATTTTGAAAAACTACCAAAGTTTTTCCTATAGTGATTGTATCATTTTATATTACCACTAGCACTGTATATGAGTTCCAGTTTCTCCATATTCTTACCAATTAGTCTTTTTAATTTTTAATATTAGGCATTCCAGTAGGTACACAGTAATGTCCCATTGTAGTTTTAATTTGCATTTCTCAAATGACTACTGATGCTTAACATCTTTTCACATGCT